GCCACCTTAGGTGTATGTGGCTGACACCTTAGCCGCTTGAGCCACAGACGCCGAGCCTTTGTATTTGTTTTTAATTGTAAAGTAAAAATTATATAAAACTATATAAAGTAGAAAATTAGAAAATCCCTCCGATCCTACTTTCCAGAATGTCATGCATTATATATTTCCCTTTGCATTTTATCGAATTTCAAACATAGAGAATAGTATAATGAACACACAAACATCCAAATTACTAGTTTTATAATGCAAGAGAATTATTACATTAAGATCTACTCTACTTAAGTAAATAACATAAAGGCTAGGTTAACCAGTTTGATGAAAATATTTCCAATTGTATATGAAAACACACACTGTACCCCATGATTGCATTAATGTACACAGCTAACATTTAATAAAAAAAAAAGAATTATAATCTAAAAAAAAAAATCTACTCTACTACCATGACCAAAGAGTCATGTGACCAATTATATGTTGCAAAAAATGTAAAAAAAAAACCAATGTAAACTTCATCAATTCAAAATAGTATGAGAAATGAATACATACCAATCTCTATTCTTTGAAAGTTCTGCCCTTTGAAAGAGTTTCAGAAGATATGAAATAGTCTCTTCAGAACTAAAGTTCTGTTTAAAAATCTAAAGGGAAAAAATATATAAATATCCATGAGTCAATCTGTACTTGCTTCAAGTATGTATGATGCTTTTTTATACATTAAAAAATAATGAATCATAAGGAAATTTCTCCCCAGAAGCCTAGTATAAATTAAAAGTTTTGTGAGATTAATTTCTTAAAAGAAGCATGCATGAGATAATTTTTCAGGGTCCCAAGATATATGCTATTAATAAAAACATATTAAAATATAAAAATTCAAAAGCATTTTCCCTTTCTGAAGAATTTTCACATATATCAAATTACATAATCTATTCCCTAACCAGACTTAAATCCATGCTCTTCAGAGAACAAATTTCCAGTGGAAAAATAATTTCCAAACACAGTGGAACCTCCACAGCTGACCACCTCCCTATATTGATCACCTCCTCAAGCTGACCTAATCTTCACAGACGAGTCGTACACTACATGTACCTAACAGTACAGTAGGCCAAGTTCCTTATACGGACCACCTCTGTATGTTAACTGATTTGTTACAGTTCCTTGGGTGATCAACTTAGAGAAGTTCTACTTGAACAGAGAATCATATGAAGGACAAGAAGATTTTTACAAACATAACTGTACATCTCAACAAAGCACAAATTCACTCACCTCAAAAGCACTTACAGCCGACAAAACAACATCTATGTTATCGTCACCTAATCGGGTTAAAACAGCTTCTTTTATGAAAGACTCATCAATATTCTCCTGAGCAATAGAAAAAAAATGAATTTAGCTGTTGCTAGAAACCTCATAAGACTTTATGTTATAGAAAGGAAGCATGGTTTTGTGAAGAGTACTCCAAAAGACCAGTCAAAAAACATAGCTTCTGTGCTGGATGAGATTTCAGATGCTCCAAAACTAGATAATGTCTAAAAGGCCTTTGAGATCAATATACACAATTGTTTAGTACACATTTTTCTAGTTTCTACAGAAAATATAATAATAAGTATAATCCAAGTATAATTTCTGTAATTAAGAAGTTCTAGGCCATGAGTAGTGGCTCATGCCTGCAATCCCAGCACTCTGGGAGGCTGACACAGCAGATTGCCTGAGCTCATGAGTTCAAGACCAGCCTGAGCAAGAGTGATACCTTGTCTCTACTGAAAATAGAAAAACTATCCAAGTGTGGTGGTGAGTGCCTGTAATCCTAGCTATTCAGGGGGCTAAAGTAGGAAGATCACTTGAATCCAGGACTTTGAGGTTGCTGTGAGTTGGCTGAGGTCAGGGCACTCCAGCCTGGGGCAAAAGAGTAAGACTCTGTCTCAAAAAAAATGGCTCCCCGCCTGTAGCTCAAGCAGCTAAGGCACCAGCCACATACACCAGAGCTGGTGAGTTCAAATCCAGCCGTGAGGCCTGCCAAACAACAATGAAAACTACAACTAAAAAACAGCCAGGCACTGTGGCAGGTGCCTATAGTCCTAGCTACTTGGGAGGCTGAGGCAGAGAATCACTTAAGCCCCGAGTTCAAGGTTACTGTAAGCCATGATGCCCTGGCACTCGACCCAGGGTGACAGCTTGAGGCTTTGTTTCAAAAAAAAAAAAAAAAGTCCATTTGAAAGAAGTTAAAAGACAAATTTTAAGAATATACGTGTAGTTAAATTAATTTAGCAAAAATTATTCAGATAATGCTCACATGACTGAAGTTTAGGAAATACTGTTCTATCCGAATCACTGCTCAAATCCTCATACTAGTGCCCTTCAGTATAAGGCAAATATAATGAGTTCTTTACAAATTAAGTCGGCCTCTGTACTTATCATTTGTAGCCACCAAAATTTTAAAAACAAATGTGACTGCAGACATTGAAATCATGGAATAGTATCCAAACGTTAACATTCAGATGTCCCAAAGTACGCTTTAATATAAAATTAAGACTATCAAAATGAGATTCCAAAACTAAAAAACTTTCAGATAATTTATGAACCTCTTTGATTTGGTCTGTAAGTTCCAGCTTAAAAAATGCTGACCTCTAAAGCTAAACTAATAATTTAAATATGGAAACATGTGAAAGTAATTATTAGGTTATGTCTAAAATGTGGACTACTGGCATACACACCAGTCCTAAATCTTAGTCCAATGTACTTCTATCAGCTTTATTGACCTTATCTCTATAATTACACAGTATCAAGTCTAGGTAGTACCTTCCATTTCTTATTCTAAAATGACAATGTTCATCACTGGAAAAGAAATCACCAAGTAAAGCTATTTGACACAAACCTTTGATGTTTTCATGATATTTTTCAGATGATTAATGGCCAGAAGTCTCACAGGAGCAAGTGGATGATTCAGACTGAGCATCAGAGAGGTATCAGAATCTGCTAAAAACTACAGGATTCAACATAATTATCCAATGACTTTACTTAATGGAGGTGGCAAGTGATCTAGAATGAAAGCCAGAAGAAAACCACCCGATCCTGCCCAACGTATTCAGTAACAACCACCCAACTACAGAAACCAAAAAGTGAAGCGAAATCTTTACTCTAGAACATGGTACGAGTTACGATGGGTAAAACAAATTCATACTGGTAATCGTATGATTTTGTGTGTCCTTGTGTCTGAGTAATTGTAGCTTTCATTTAGTGAAGTAACTGATTCCAAAGTGAAAAGCACCTACACCACTAGATCAGCACCTCACTGCAGAGAGAATGCAGCTCATTCAGTGACAGGACAAACAGGGATGCTCCCAAGTGACAAGCTGGTCCCCTTAGTAATCAGACGAAAAAGAAAGTCTACCTGTCAACCTGAGATGTGGAAATCTCATACTATTAAAAATGAAAGTCTAATTATGGAAGAGACAAACGAAAACAAACATACTTCTCTTTCAAGGCTAATCAAAGGAACTTCTGCTTATGTGTCTAACTTGTCTAATCAATAATTTAAATGGCTGTATGTGGCTAGTGCAGTGCCAAGTACAGGCCTAAGAGAAAATCAAGGAACACTAGGAATGCCTGTGAGGCTACCCTTGGATAACTATTAATAAATAGTATATTTAACATTTAAAATCCCAAATAATAGTTTTCCTGAAATGAGTACCGCATTCACGTATTTATAATTCATATTTAAAAATTATTTTACCTTTCTCCAATTATTCAATTCCTGCCTCAGAGCCTTCCTGTAGATAACTAGACAAACTGTACAAACTCTCGTCTCTCCTTTTATACAAAGGGGAGAGAAGTGGCAAATTTCCTTTCGAGGCTCTTCAAATAACCAGGAAAATACCCCTCATTGTCATAATTCCTACAGGAAGGGCAACATACCTGATACTTTCCTCCACTTGTAGAAAGAGAAATAAATTGGTGAAAATGCTCTTGTTTTTGTAGATCTGTAATTTCCTTTAGGTGTTCCTCTAACACAACATCTAATGTACTGGGGTATCTGGGAAAAAAGTTAAGGGGTTAATTCTTTAGTTTTAATAAAGTTATTAACATACACACCATGCACGTAGGTGTCTATCAGTATGTGTGGCTTTCACTCAGTGAAGTAATTCCATTAAGAAAATCTGTATTCTTTATGGATCTGATTCCAAAGTGAAATGGCTGACATAAAATTTTAAAAATTCTTGAGATGAGCAGTGCCTGTGGCTCAAAGGAGTAGGGCGCCGGCCCCCTATGCCGGAGGTGGCGGGTTCAAACCCAGCCCCGGCCAAAAACTGCAAAAAAAAAAAAAAAAAAAATCTTGAGATGAAGACTTAAAGTATGAGAAATGATAAAACAAAAGGACACTGGTCTATGTATTAAAAAATTCTACTTTCCACAGTTCCCACAAAACCCATGTTTCCTCTTATACTTCAAATATTTTTAATTCCTATACTTCTTGCTTTCTAAGGAAAATAATAAGAAAAAGATAGGTCCATTAAAATGTATACATTAAGATGTGACTTGTGAATCTTATCTTTATATAACAAGATGTATACATTACTGGCTAGAGCCTATAGCACAGTGGTTACAGCGCCAGCCTCATACACTGAGGCTGGTGGGTTCAAACCTGGCCCAGGCCAGCTAAATAACAGTGACAACTGTAACAAAAAATAGCCAGGCATTGTGGAGGGTACCTGTAGTCCAGCTATGTGAGAAGCTGAGGCAAGAGAATTGCTTAAACCCAAGAGTTGGAGGTTGCTGTGAGCTGTGATACCACAGCTCTCCACTGAGGGTGACATAGTCAGACTTTGTCTCAAAAAAAAAGAAAGAAAGAAAAGATGCATACATTATAGAAAAGCACAAACAAAACACAACTTACTTGTTTTCTAAAAGTCTGATGAGCGGAAGAAATTGTTCATTAAGCAAAGTTACTTTGCTAGGATCAATTTCTTCCTGTGAACTGTATGAGATATACTCTTCAAAAAGAAGGCTGCAAAGACAAACAGAAACATTAGCACACATGGATATATTTATCAAGTACCTACTATGCTCTAGGTGCTCTAGAAAACTTATCTCCAGTTATCACGTCTCTGTAAAGTAGAAATCGTATTTATTTTATAGATGAATGAGATCAGCAACAAATGCCAACACTTAGTGAGCCATAAAAACCAGAGTGGGTTTTTAAATTTTAAAGCCTGGTCTGGTAACCCCAACACTTTGAGAAGCCAAGGTGGGGAGGACCCTTGAGACCAGAAGTTCAAGACCAGCCTAAGCTACACGGCCATGTCTCTACAAAAAAAAATCAAAAAAATTAGCCAGCATGGTGGTGCGTACCTGTAGTCCCACCTACTCAGGAGGCTAAGGCAAGAAGGTTGCTTGATTTCAGGAGTTTGAGATGCAGGGAGCTATAATAATGTCACTGCTCTCTAGCCCGGTAAACAGAGCAAAAGTAGCTCAAAAAAAAAAAAAAAAAAAAAGCCTAGTCTGATTCCAAGGACTCAGCTCTCAATAGTACTTCACCAGTATTCTCCCTTAATTCATAAACCAATCCTCTAGAGGCACAAATGACGCCCACTAGTAGACAGTACAGCTTGATGTTACACAATAGTAAACCAGATCCAATCTGACCTCCACAACTGACTACCCTGCTGGAAGCAGGATTCAAATATACATCTGACTGCAATCAATGCCTATATCCTTTTCACTACATCAACTTGCTCTTTAAAGAAAAAAAGAAGAATGGATTATCTTTAAGGAAGAAGTGATCTTATAAGTTTCTAACTGCTATCAACTGTAATGTATTATTACAGGCGTAGTGGTCTATTTATTAATAGAAAACTTCAATTGGCCATAAATTGCATTTAGTTATAACATACATTTAGCTTAGCCATTAACTTCCCATTTTCATCTGGAAAGTTAAATGGTTAAGCTAAAGTTATCATTTTTCACTTTTCTTGATTGTCTTATAGGCACTAAAGACAATCAAGAAAAATGATTTTGCTTTTATGCTTCCACAGTTATTGGACTAAGTCCTTACAGCTAATAAAACAGTACAGACAAAGCAAGATGTACATTAAAAAGGAATACCGGAAAACTTCTAACCAGCCCTGAAAAGTATACTGGGCCACAGAAGTGCAAACCAAAAGCATGTCAGAAGTAACAGCTTACCTAGCCAACAAATGGTCTAAGTTGTTCCTCAGTGGTATTTTTGTAAGTATAGCTTCTAAGTGTCTCTTATAGATTTGACCATCCATCCCTTCAGTTTCTTCTCCTTAATATGCAACAAATTAAAACTGAGTTGGGGAAATACTTTTTGGTATGCTAACACTAATACATTTACTTACAGCAGAAAATCTAAGAATAATTTTCAAACATATACACTGATACCCAGTTTTTGACCTATTTTCAAGTGTCTTCTACCTGTTCATTTATATCTTTCAAAGTCTTTTTTTATACATTACCCTCATTTGTCCTTTACCTGAACTATTCTCTATATTTTTAAAGGCTGTTATCATGCCTTTGACAACAATAAAATAAAAGTCTAAAATTTTTCTTTCTCCAAGTCACACTGCAAGTTAGTGGTCGAGTTGGGCCACAGACCTAGATCTCAATAAACCATCTGTAGAAACAGGCTGTCCTCTCAATGCCTCTCTCCTTCGTGAACTAAGAGCCATCTTCTTCCATTCCAGATTTACTACAAATGTAGCCCCTGCCTTCAAGACTGGGCCCACATTACTTATCACCATCAGAATAGGAAGACATTTTCATTTAGGCTAATTACTTTTCCGAAACGCATGTTTAGACCAAGATTTGGTTGTGATAACCTTATTTTCAATCAACTACCATAATTTTAGAGATGTCTTTGTTAGTATTCTCCAACTAGCAAGAGGACCAAGTGTTTCTTCCTTATCTTCATTTATTGGAAGATTAAAAACAAATAACAAAAAATAAGAACTACCTAATTCATTTTTTGGCCTTGTTTTTGTAGCAAGGACTTTTGTGTATAAAATTTTCTTGGTCTTATATTTTCCATGACTCTCGGGAGAAAAACTGTTTTTTGGCATCTGAATGAGATACCTGTAAATGAATCACTAAAGTTCATTAGATGAGAAGACAAAGGTTTACTCAATAATGCTTTTTAAAGTAATTCAGCACTTTTTTTCCACATATAGACTATTTAGGAATACAGATCTATTGATAAGAGAAATAAAACTGAAAAATTGTTCAATTAACAAGGATCTTTCTTCAACCAAGCCACTCCCCACTCTAAATCTTTCTCACTTAAGAAAAACAGACAAGTTACACAAAAACAATTAGGTAAATGTTATATATTTTAAAGCTATCAACTAGGATATGGTTCCTATTTTAAGAAGATTAAATCTTAGAATGTCAGTTTCTAGACACAAAATATAAAACCACCCACCAGTAACGTGATGAATGATGGAGATGACCAGGTGGGGGAGCATGTAACGCAGAAGCGGGCTGACATCGTAAGTTTCCGAAATCCCCTGAAGTGTTGTAATAAGGTCAGGAACATTACACAAGTGAGGGAATGGCCTGGGAGGAAGCAAATGGGTAAGACATTGACTTTACAAGTTAGACAAAGAATGACAATAAAATACACATATATATCATTATCTTACCAAAAAAACTACTCAAAATATAATTTCTTTCACCTCTAACTAGCATCGTTTCTCAATTCAATTGTACGTACTTTTTCCCAAGGCTCTCTGGCTTCTGTCTCTGCAGGAGCACTATTAAGCAGCCTAATCCATCCTTGATCAAAGAGGGGGTCTTAGTCAATGTTTTGATGATCTGGGATGCCAGGGAATTCACAAAGCTGTCTTCCATTGTCACTTTCACAGAAATCTGACATATTATCATGTATGTTGCAGCTCTATAATCCGGTAAAGATGATTTCAATCCCTAAATATTTTTTAAATATAAAAAAATGATAGGGGAAAGAGGTGGGTGGGGAAAAAAAGGATAAACGACATTATTTCCTTCTACTTAAAATGTTGTTACTCTGACAAATTAGAAATGTCATACGGTGGAGGTTAATACAATCTAATGCACAAAGTCAATTGCTCTTCAGAAGTGAGCGAAGTCCTGACCCGTTCCCCCAAGTGGTCACAGAGAAGACACAAGTCTTTGAGGTGACAGAAGGTATCTCAGAAAGTCCCCCAACTTAAACATCCAACACACATTCTAATAGGAGCCAGAAAGCACTTCTATGTGCTAACACCTTTCTGTGGAAGGAAGATGTCAATCAGATCACACAGAGAAGAAAAAAGGATCTAATTAAGAACAGTAAGTAGGGACACTGGTGAGAAGTAAAAAGTGGTAACCTCCTTGGAGCATCTGGGAAGGTGTCAGGCAACAAGGCACTTGGGAAGAGGAAATATTGGGGAGCAGAAGCCAATGCAAAAAGAAGGGGAGAGACTGTTTGTGCTCTGTGCCTCAAAGAGACTGCCTAGTCCATTTTCTAGTCTAAAACAATTGCTAAGAAAACACATCTGGAATGATGCCCTTGGGAGAGTGCCACAGAGACATGACTCACAGCAACCTCAAACTCTTGGGCTCAAGTGATCCTCTTGCCTCAGCCTCCCAAGTCGCTGGGACTATAGGCACCTGCAACAACAGCCAGCTAGTTTTAGAGCCAGGGTTCTCACTCTCGCTCAGACTGGTCTCGAACTCCTGAGCTCAAGCACTCCAGCCTCAGCCTCCCAGAGGAAGGGGATTACAGGTTTGAGCCTCCACACCCTGCCCTGTACTTATGTTTTTCAAAGTGCTAATCTACATGCAGGAGCTTAGGAATACTGAAAATATAATTTGGTTAAGTGGTAGGTAAACAGGAAGGTTTAGCATTTCTAAAATTCTATGAGTCTGACTTTATAACTGGTATGGGATATATAGTTAATTGTAGCCCTCAAGTTAAAGGACCAGGCGAAGTAATTCTTGTCAGTTTTCCAGTTCACATTGGTGCCATTCAGGACTCAAGCTGTTTATAGAAAATATGTACTTAGCAAGGTAATAGTTTTCCTTTAAAAATTTTGAATTTAGCTTAAAATATAAAATATGTATAGCTTCTCAAAAAGGATAGAGAATGACAATATTCCTATAGTTCTGGCATTAATGCACTAGAGGCAAAGGTTCCCTCAAGTAAAGACACTCAAATGTAGAGTTTTAAGACGTGGCATAACTTGACAAAGTAGTAGGGAAGAGCAAGACAGAGCAGAAAATATTAGAAGTGCCTGATTTCATTCTGTACAACTCTCATGTGATTTTACCATTGTCATTAAGATGCATTCATTTTAGTTATGAGGTGTATAATTTTAAATACCTAAATGCTGCATGAAGTGAGCATTTAAATACCTGAAAGCTGCATTTAAGTCTTTTAAAGGAATAAAGTGAAAACATTAAAAGAAAAAAAGAAAGAAGAGAAAACAGATCTAGGAGACAGAGGCAGGACCAGAGAGCTAATATTTACTCTTTTGGGGGTGGGGGCAGAGTCTCATTTTGTCACCCTCGGTAGAGTGCCGTGGCGTCACAGCTCACAGCAACCTCAAACTCTTGGGCTCAAGCGATTCTCTTGCCTCAGCCTCCCAAGTAGCTGGGACTACAGAATAAATTGTCCATTTGAAAACACTTATGTCTAAATGAAATTTTCATAGGCAAGAAAATTCCTTTAAGTACAAAATAATCTACTTTACACATCAGCAGAGCCAACCTTTTGAATATATGGAAATAGTTTGGCGACGATATTGTCTGATACGTCCTCAGCAGCCACTAGTGCAGACACGATGGTAGAAGCATAAAAGGCCAAGAGCACCCTCAACTGAGAGGACCTGCTCGGGTACTCAGCAAAAACCTGGCACAAGGAACACAAACAAAACACATTGACGAACGAAAGCTCAATAAGATAGAAGTACAAAAATCTTTACAGCTCCCCTGAACTACTTTAGGCTTTGACATTTTGATTCTTACCATACCCACTGAGTAAATACATGATATGATGAGAATGAATTGCCTGATATTCCTGACATTTTTAGATGGTCTCTTTCTTTGAATAGTCACTGTAGGGCTCGGTGCCTATAGCTCAACCGGCTAAGGCGCCAGCCACGTACACCTAAGGTGGCGGGTTCGAATCCCCAGCCCGGACCTGCCAAACAACGACGGCTGCAACCAAAAAATAGCCGGGCGTTGTGGCGGGCGCCTGTGGTCCCAGCTACTTGGGAGGCGGAGGCAGGAGACTCGCTTGAGCCCAGGAGTTGGAGGTTGCTGTGAGCTGTAATGCCACGGCACTCTACCCAGGGGGACAGCTTGAGGCTCTGTCTCAAAAAAAAAAAAAAAAGAATAGTCACTGTAACTAGAATTTGATAAGGAATAAACTATTTTTTGTTGAAAAAATACCTTTGAGGATAAAAGACATTCTAAAAAAAAAAGAAAAGAAAAAGGACTGATTCATAAATTTCTCATGCCTCAAAACATATCATATAACAAAAGGAATTTCTTCAAAGTACCTTTTTTTTTTTGAGACAGAGTCTTGCTGTGTTGCCCTGGGTAGAGTGCCATGGCGTCACAGCTCACAGCAACCTCAAACTCTTGGGGTTAAGCGATTCTCTTGCTCAGCCTCCCTAGTAGCTGGGACTACAGGTACCCACACAATGCCTGGCTATTTTTTTTTTTTTTTGGTTGCAGTTGTCATCGTTGTTTAGTTGGCCTGAGCTGGGTTCAAACCCGCCAGCCTCAGGGCATGTGGCTGGCGCTGTAACCACTATGCTACAGAGCCGAACCCAAAGTACCATTTTTAATAGGGAAGGCTTTAGTAGGTTTTCTTCATTCAGAGTGAGGAATTTTTTCATGGAATTATACATTCAAGAAATGATGCTCCATATACTACTCACCTTCACAGATTTTGTCACCAGACTACAAATGAAATCCATAAATCCAAGATCTTTGTAGCAGTGGGTAATCAAAGTCCCTCTAGCTAAGGGCACTCCAGATTGCTGGTATTGGCAGAAAGAATAAACTGTTAAGGTTATTATTATTTACTGATCATTACAAAATACCGTCCCAGTAATGTCTTTATACTGCTGTGGCTCACAAATATAAAATATAATTTCTCTTTACTTTAACAGGTGGTGGTGATGAGATTAACACATATACTTGTGCAAACTTTAGAAATTCAAAAAGAAGAACAGTAATGAGGTTTTAAAAAGTTAGTGAAAAATGATTATCATGTGTTACGTTTTGATATCTATTTATCTAAATCTGGATTCTCTTAGATTCTTAGCAATTCTCCTGGTTAGATTTGGTTTGGGGGCCAGTGGGATATGGTTTTGACATTGCTTCACGATAACATCAATAACAGAAACAGACCAGGAATCTGGCCAACTGCTATTCCTACCACCTAGCATTGTACATGGAATGTACCAGCTACTCAATAAATACTGGCTAAATCAATGAAAGGAGAATTTAAAGTGAACTTTCATAATTGAGTTAGGGTTTAGATGCTTAGAATAGCAGTGCCTAGGGAGCAACTGGGGATCCATCAGAGGAAAAATGATTGTGGTGCTATGAACAGGGTGAATGCTGGGAAGAATAGCTAGATAAGAAGCATTATCACAGGTTATTTTTCTTGTAGATTCTTTAAGACCTTTACATGCAGATTCCTAAATTATCCTAATTAAAAAGTCTCCATTACTTCCTTCTTACTAATTCTGTCCACTGACCTCTCTCTTGTCACCCATCAGATCTGCACAGCCCCATAGTCTGTTAGACTACTTTTATCTCCATCTGTCCCCCTCCTAACTTAGACCACCAACATCAACATGCAGTAAACTTCCAGCTAGCAACATACACCTACTGTGTGTTGCAAACAAAGAATTAATCGTAAGTCATTCGGTTTTACTACGATAGCATGCTATTTGGTCCTACCGAGGCCCTGCCTGGTAGACAAACATCTTTTCATTCATCCATAAATTAATTCCTAGCATTCTCTTCACAACCTGATTAATTTCCTGATGCCTCTTCAAGTTATCCACATCCTTTTAGTTTTGTTTCTGCCTTTCTTCGTTTCCAACTTTTTTAAGCTCTTTAGTTCCAAAATGTAAAATGTCAATAGCCTGGTATAGTAGAAAGATACAGGTTCTGGAATCAGATAGAGTCAAACTGCTACTCTGCCACGTACATTTATATGAGTAACTTAATTTTCTGAGCCTGTCCTTATCTATAAAAAGGAGTTTTCTGAGAATCAAAGATAATATATAAATTGCCCAGACTGATGTCAGATATGAAATAAAAGCTAGATATTATTAATAACTGTTTTAACTGAAGTTAGGAAATAAAAGTAACACGGGTACTATCTGGACTATTCCCAGGAGCATTGACTTTACTTTTTTCCAAACCACACCCCTTAATCAAAATGTGTAATGATTATACAGACATGTCATTTAACGATCATACCTTAACTGGCAACAACCAGAACCATTTGTGCTTTGAATTATTAATTTTTAGAAGCTGTATAACCCGCACAAATATTCTTGTCTCATGGTATGGCAGAACACAAGCAATGAGGCTATCTTGATTATAAAGATGGATGTGGAACCTGAGGAAAAAGCAAACGATTCAAATTGACACAAAATTAATAAACACCTATTTCTTCCTCCTCCCCACAGTTTCTGGCCAGGGCTGGGTTTGAACCCACCACCCCACCACCTCCGGCATATGGGGCCGGTGCCCTACTCCTTTGAGCCACAGGAGCCACCCTAACACCAATTTCTTTATTTGTCTAACTTAGTTAGCAATATACTAAAACTATATAGCATGAGTATCAAAAAAGCAACCACATAATTATAAACAAGTACAAAGCACTTATACTGTAAGTCCTCTGCTTTTCATCTAAGTGTGCCTGAAATGGTCCTGCAATTCTCATACATTAATACACTATATTTGAACATTCAAATCAAACTGTGTATTCTATTCCCTTCCTCTCTATTTTTTTAAAGCAACTGGTCAACTAGGCAGCAAAGCTCAGCTTTTCTACATACTTCAAAGTCACCTTCCACAGCCTTCCTCACTATCATACTTTTAAAATCAAAAGAATAGTTCACATTCATTTCTTTGGATGAAAAACTTACCAAATTATAACCATATATAATTTGCCCATGAATATCACAAAACTTTTTATCAGTTCCTCTACTCTCACAGTAAGATAGATTTATGAATTCTGTCAGATGTATTAATCCTTCCCAGTTTTCAACACCCAGCTCAAATGCCTCCTTCTTCAAGATGCTTTTTCTAATTCTCCAAGCTTCTAAACTCTCATCCTCTTACATGTATTTTCTTATACTACCATATCATTCTGCCTTTTATTAGTTTTATACATAGCTTTACTTCCTCAACTACTCCAGGCAGACCCACACGTCCCAAACTTTGCCTAAATCCTTATTATGGTATTTATTTCAAGATGGGAACCAAAGAAACAAACAAAAAAGACAGTAACTAAGAGCAACCTACTTAACCATATATCCAACTTAATGTCTGCGAATAAGCTGCCTAAAGAAACAAATGAAAAATGAACTGCAAAAAGCACTCCTTATGCTTATGATCAAGTTGGAAAAAATTAAATGCTCCAAAACAGAATTTTATAGATTTTTGAACATTCTTTTTGTCTGATGAATCTAATGCTCTGATAATAACCACCAAGCACATGGTTATTTGATATATTCTCTTACTCCTAACAACGTTAAGTCACCATGTTAGAAACTGCTGAGCAATAGAACAAGGCAGAAGAGAAAACAAGAAAACACAGCAACATCCAGAAAATAGAATACCCAAGTTAAAATTATGTTTTCTCAATGACTCACTAGCTTCCTGAAAGAAAATCACTTCATCCCATGTCACCAGTTAATGAAACTGAAATCTACACATGTGAATAAACAAAAAACATATAAGATGTAACATAAACCAAAAAGTGAGAAAACAAACAGTAAATTTACTAAGATGATCCCCTAAGCAGGTAAAAGATCAGACTTGGGGCTCCGCGCCTGTAGCTCAGCAGCTGGGGACCCAGCCACATACACCGGAGCTGGCGGCTTCAAATCCAGCCCAGGCCTGCCAAACAATAATGACAACTACAACCAAAAAATAGCCAGGCATTGTGGTGGGCACCTGTAGTCCCAGTTACTTGGGAGGCTGAGGCGAGAGTATCGCTTAAGCCCAAGAGTTTGAGGTTGCTGTGAGCTGTGACATCACAGCACTCTACCCAGGGCAACAGCTTGAGACTGTCTCAAAAAAAAAAAAAAAAAAAAAAAGATCAGACTTGGAAACAAACTCAGCTGTATCCCAGTTCTGCCACTGATCAGTCATGTGACTCAGGCAACTTAACCCCACTAAGCCTCAGTTTTCTCAACTGTAAAATGGGGATAATATAAGTATCTCCCCATAAGGCTATGAGGGTTAAGCTAAATAATGCAGGTAAAGTGCTTACCACAGGGCCTGGTGTATAAATGCTCAAAACACATTAGCTATTATTGTTTTTCTTAAATAACGGTATTTTAGAGGCTATTGTTATTCTCTTCCCAAACCTTGTTATTTTAGCAAGAAGGTTTATCATCCTTTGTCCCAAGTGTACAGGAGGAATCTGTAATGGCAAAGTGACAGGACCTCCTCAGAACCAAGCAACTTAGACCATTTATGCAAGAGTATCAATAGTTTACAAAATGAGCTTACAAGTAGAAGAGCACGTCCACCTCATACAATACACATTGTATTATTCTCTTAGTACACCTAATTTTTCAGCTTTAAATTTGTGAGTGTTCTTAACTATTTAATTTTTCCGTAATTCCGTTAGCTACCTGCGAATCAACCACTCCAGACACTTCTGTGCTGGCTTGAGCAGGAAGTAAGGAGACAAGTGAATAAGAAATAATGAAATGTTTTCATCCAACTGTTTGTTCACTGCTTTGGTCTGAACACTGCGCTCCAACGTTTTTGCTAGCTGGCTGAACAATGGTGCTTCAAACTGCTCGAAGGAAGGATCAATTCCAAGTAGCTCTTCCAGGCCAGTGCATCCTAAAAACAAAGGCAGCTCGTTTAACAACTCTTTGCAAGCAAACTCATCCCATCCCTCTTTTACAGTTTTACTTATCCTTAAAAGTCTGTGAACTTTCTTTGAGACAGAATTTTATTAGGTCACCCTCGGTAGAATGCCAAAGCATCATAGCTGACAGCAATCTCAAACTCTTGGGCTTAAGCAATTCTCTTGCCTTAGCCTCCCAAGTAGCTGGGACTGCCGGCGCCCACCACGATGCCTGGCTAATTTTTTTGTTGCAGTTGTCACTGCAACAACACTCACTTTGTTGCAGTCGTTTTAGCTGGCCTGGGCCAGGCTCCTCGGTGTATGTGGCCGGCACCCTACCTACTGAGCTACGTGTGCCACTCTGGGAATTCTTTCAGCATGTACAATGCATAACATAGTCCCAAACACAAAGTTCTAGTTTTCAACATGTATAATACATCTTATCTACTAGAAGAACAGAAAGTACTTTATGGCAGGATCCATTTTCTTTTCTTTTTTGATATTCCCTACATTAAGGAGGTCAGTCCTCTGGGAAGACTCTTCTTCCTACTGCTCCATCCTCTTTTAGTTCTTTTCTTTAGTTCTTTTTAGTTCATCTAACCTTGTTGTTCATCTGTCAACTCCAGCTACTAATAATCGTATATACATTTCAAGCACCAAGCACATGGTTACTTCATATATTCTCTTTCCCTTGACAACATAAGTCAACATGTTAGAAACTGCTGAGAAAGAGGAGGCAACAAGAAAACACAGCAACATCCAAAAAACAAACGCTCCAAAGAGCTTTTCTAAGTTAAAGGGTGGCTCACCGATGGCAAAGGCGGTGTCCCTGTCGATGGTGGCCGCTTCCTTGGGGTCAAACAACAAAGAGGCAACTTCATCTCTAGATAAAAGACTGGGATCACTTTGCGGGAGGGCGAGTCGCTGGAGCTGCTGGGCTAAAGACGTCATTTTTCACGCCGGCGGAGTTCTAATAACACAGACCGATAGACATAATCACTACCAGAAGTCTCTACGAAGCCTTAAGGTGCCTTAACTGCAAGTAGCAAATGCCTCACAGCAATCGCGGTCACATAACGGGGCTGTCCCGGGGCTCGCTGACCCCCGAGACGCGAACACCAAGGCAACAGCGTTAACAACTAATTACGGCGCCGGGGCCGCACCAAGACTTTAACTCCGACTCCGAAGACATCCAGAAAACTTGCGGATGCCTAACCCACCGTCGATACCCCGCCCCGATCCGCAGCAACGCGGAGCGCTCTGTTTTCCTCCTCACCTGACGATCGGAATTTCAGGATGATTCTGAAGCCAGGGACTCTTCACAGCCGTTCCCACATGGTACCAGAGCGCCCAGCTCTAGCCCGGAAACCTAAAGCACGCCTCCAAGGAACTTCCGGCTTTAGGCTACGGCAAGAGAAGAGGTACAAGCTTGGCGGAAACGCGATGCTCTCGCCCCGCCCCCAGGCGAAGCCCCGCCCACAGCCCTAACAGATTGCAGCTCCAGCTCGGAACTTCAGCTGGGGTCTCAGGTCCAGCCGCTGGCGTTCTGGGTTGTGTCTGAAGGTTTCGGCCTCCAGATGGGCCTTTTGCGAGCTGTACGGCTCTGTAGCCAGAATCATTCATTCAGAAAATGCTTATCCAGCTTTTTCTATCACCAGCATCGCTGAGTGGTTCAAACTTTGTGTCGTGAAGTCGCGCAACCTAAATTGAAATCCCAGCGCCTGTGGGCTCGGTGGGCTGGGCGGAAGTGTGTTACTTCCTCTACGCAGAGGCGACAGGACGAAAATTTAATGAGACAAGCCGCTGGTCCTAGCGCGAACCGATCTGTAAATGCCGGACATCCCTGCCCCACACCTTGGGGGCGATTTTGTCATCCCTCTTTGTTTGCCTTCCTGGAAAGCGCCTAGTGTATATGTATTTTTCTTTTAAACTGTACCCCGTTGAGGTCTAATTTACAAACGATAAATGCACCCGTTTCAGTGGAATGGTTCGATGAGTTTTAGCAAATGCATATATAGGGGTAACAGTCTCCCCAGTCAAAATCGTAGGAAGTTTCCATTGCCCCCTAAAAGTCCCCTCTTGCCTCCATGCGAAGATTCCTACTCCCACGCCTGGCCCTAGGTACCACTGGTCTTGGCGTCACTGTAGTGTTGCTGGAGTGTCCCATGTATCGATAATACCCGAGCTTTTTCTAAAGCTGCGTGGTTTAATGCTAGAAATAGGGTGAACTGACCTCTTAGCATCTGCACTGGATTAAGGAGTGAAATCCGACGCTTTTCCGGATACAGTAATTTCTCTCTATGAATGCAGGAGGTATTTCCTTAACCTTCTTTCCTGGAGAATGTTGGAAACTCAACTACAAATTTGAAGGCTCACATTTTCTGCACTTCATGCAGATTCTCTACCTTTTATGAACAGAATCTTTTGTTGGTTTGCTTTGACATTTAAAACTAAAAATTTCTCCAGTTGTTTCTACGGATAGCTAACAATCTTTTTCATGTGGTGTTGACTGCCTTGCAGAGAACTACATGAGAATTCTGGTGGTAGCTCTTTCTTCCTTAGAAACAGATATCTCAAAGAATTTTTTTTCTTGCAGCGGTTCTCAACCTGTGGGTCGCGACCCTTTTGTTCCATTTGTAACAACGCGGCAGTTAGGAAGGTTGAGAACCACTGTACAGGAATTTTATTTTTACAAAAGCAATCAGCTTTCAGTATTTACAAAGAAATAAAAACCAGGCCTATTTTATCTACGAGGCAAAAATGTGAGGAATCCTTTCTATCAAACATACCAAAAGCATATTTGCTTTTTTGCTTTAAAAAATCCTTTATGTACTTTTAAAAGCTTTATCAAAGTGAAACTTAAAAAGGGGCTATGGATACTTGGTTCAATTCTATGTCAGCTCCAATGCTATATAGTGAGTGCCAGGCTGAGTTTTCACTTTGAAATTAGGCTAAGAAAGTAAAAAGAAAAACAAGTCAGGTGCATAAATACTACATAAATAAATACATGTATATATATAAAAAGCTGTGGTCCAAAAGAGTATATAGTGATCTTAAATGATATGTTTTTCTTCATTTTAAAATAATTCTTTGGATTTGTTGCTGATCGTTTTCTATCACTTCCTTGGATTTTGTGATTATATGCCTGTCTTACAGATTATTTGAGGACCAGAGCAAACATACTTTCTCGGTTATTTTTGAATTAAAAGTAACAGTTACAGTGAGGCAAGAAAGTAACAGCAGAACTAAAAGAATCTGTGCTAGCCGCCCTGTGTAGGCCTCAGCCAAGCCGCAGGCATTTCTGTTGTCTGTATGTTTCTTCCTTGATATAAGGGGGGGCCTAGATTATAACCTAGTAACTTCCCCGGACTTCCATCTCCTTTGAGGGCAGGTGGTCCCACCGGTCTCAAGGACACAGGTGAATCTGACCTTCCTCCTTGAGCCCAGGACCTTGAGGATGATGTCATGTCTCTCTCTGTTTTACGACCCTCATGTGCACTCTCGCCCTGAAAAATGGATAAAAGAGAGACAAGAGATTGAGTGGGGGGGCTCCATTTTGGAGACACACCGGTGTTCCGAGTTACCAATCCCCCACCCTCCGCCGGAATAAACCCGCTTCCTCTAATCAAGTGGTGCCTGGAGTCTTCTGTCTGTGTCCGTTTCCTGCTACATTTCTTGGTTCCCTGACTGGGAAGCGAGGTTTGGTGGCAAAATCGTGCAGCCAGATTCTTTGGGTTAGGTTCTGCCCGCCCCGCAGATCTTCCCCATGGGGAACTCCCACTGGTCTGGCGTCACGGGCCTCAGCGTGCTCCTGGGACAAATTCTCCCAGAGGAACATCTTGTTGAGACCAAGCTGGTGAGGTCCCTGTGGCGGGTCACTGCGGAGGCTGAGCACCACAAAGGAACAAGTAACGGTGGCGCCAGGACGTCCAGAGTAAGGTAGGATCCTTTTGAACCCCACTACAATTTAGTGGAAGAGGAGCCTGATCACCTCCTTGGGCGTTAGATCACGGGCAGGTGTGTGAGAGTGTGTGGATGTGGTGTGACTGAGAGAACTCCGAGAGTGGAGTTGGACCTCCCGTCACAAGGCCTAGGGGAGTGGTGGTTTGACTCCTATGGCTAAGTGGCAGCTTGAGTAGGAAATCAAGGCTGCCCAGGTTAAGAAATGGGTTGGAGGCTCAAGTGGCTAAGGCGCCAGCCACATACACCTAAGGTGGTGGGTTCGAATCCAGCCTGGGCCCGCCAAACAACGACGGCTGCAACCAAAAAAAATAGCCAGGCGTTGTGGCAGGCGCCTGTGGTCCCAGCTACTTGGGAGGCAGAGGCATGACACTCTCTTGAGCCCAGGAGTTGGAGGTTGCTGTGAGCTGTGATGCCATAGCACTCTACCCAGGGGGAGAGCTTGAGGCTCTGTCTCAAAAAAAAAAAAAAAAAAGAAGAAGAAGAAGAAATGGGTTGGAATTGTATGCATGTGGGTGCTTGGAGAATGACTGAGATGGGTAACAATAGGTGGGGTTTCACCACCCCTCACCTAATGTGTGAGTGTGCCCTTCTTCCCTGCTCCAACTTTGCCCCCGGGCTATTCTGAGAGAAACTGGAAGTTCCAGGTTTTCTGCCTTCTGTCTTTGGGCGGCCACATGGCCATGTCGTCTTGGGGGAAAATGAAAAGACATTAGAAAGGGTTTCGTAGTTTTGTTACTGGAATCTCTTCAGTGAGTTTTTGGTCTCAGGAATTTGAGAATTGAACCCATGGGCCACAGATCAGTGATAAAATGGGATTTTGTTGGACTGAGGGGCATGCAAGAGTAAAGAGTGCCAGAGCTATTGGCAGAGGGGCTGTGCCTTGGAAAGTGTTGTGGTCCGGGCAGTCTCGTGAGCTCTGGATGGCCCTTGAAAATCTGGAGGAGAGAGTGTAAATCTCGTGGTTTGTGGGGCTGTATCCTTATCAGCAACAGGTCTCCAAGGTGGATAGCCTCCGAAAGGGGGGAGGAGGCCCAGGTCAGAGGTTTCTTGCATGAGTCCTTTGTCTAGGGGTAATAGTTAGCCCTGAGAGATATTTTGGCCAGGACTTGGTAGATGGAAGAATACCTTTACAAACTGAATGGGTGTTCTGGCAAATGGATGAATGCAACCCTTCACCTTGGACAAGATTATTAGGTCTTTGCTGCGGTTTTTGTCTGGGAAGAGGATTATTTGATTTATTAAAAATGTATAGGGAACATTGTCAAATATGAAATGGTGATTAATTTTGCATGGGTTATGGTTATATATATGTTCCAATATTGTAAAGCATTGGTCTGTCCTAACATATAAGACATTGGTCTGGGCTTGGCACCTATGGCTTAAGTGGCTAAGGCGCCAGCCACATACACCTAAGGTGGCCGGTTCAAATCCAGCCCGGCCCGCCAAACAACAATGATGGCTGCAACCGAAAAAAAAATAGCCAGTGTGGTGGGCACCTGTGGTCCCAGCAACTTGGGAGGCGGAGGCAGGAGACCCACTTGAGCCCAGGAGTTGGAAGTTGCTGTGAGCTATGCCACGGCACTCTACCCAGGGGGACAGCTTGAGGCTCTGTCTCAAAAAAAAAAAAAGGCATTGGTCTGTCCTAACATACATTGTCAGTAATAATTTTAATTCATCTAAAAGGAAAGTGTTTTTGGTAACTGGCTGAGTCCAAAGTGTATCCTAAAAAATGTTAAGAGAGGCTGACGAATTCTCTCGAATTCAAATTCCTGATGTCTTTGGAAATTGAGTACCTTTGGGCTAAAAGCAGATTTTTAGAACTTTCATTGGAAAGTTAACATGTCTATGGGTACTGCTAACCTAACTTCAAATGGAACAGAAATCTACGTGCAACTAGGCTAGTTTGTTATGGCTTTTTGTTTGAAATATTATTGGTTCTTTCTGTGCCTTGATTTTGGGGCAGTCAGTGATCCAATGGCCCAGGCCCCTGCAGAAGGCACAGCCATGCTCTCCTCCAATGTCCAGCACGGATTCATCCCCACAGTGCAGCACTTGCAGAACAGGTGGCACTTTCTGCTTGGCTTCCAGCAGCAGGGCTTTGAGATCCATCAGGACTGACTCATCACAGGCCTTGTTGATGAAGGTGGTGGCGATGCCTGTGTTTCCTGGGCACCCAGTGCAGCCAATCCAATGTACATAGTTCTCAATCTCCTCAAGCATGTCATAATTGATCACATGCTGGATGGCAGGGAAGTCCAGGCCCTTGGAGGCTACATCTGTGGCCACTAAGACATCCTTCTTGCATTCCCGGAATGCCTCGATGGCCTTGGTTCTTTCCTCCTAATCTTTGCCCTCATGGATGGCCACAGCCTCAACCCCTTTGAGCAGCAGGTACTCATGGATGGCATCCACATCTGCTTTCTTCTCTGCAAAGATGAGCACAGATGGAGGTGTCTTTTGCAGGCACTCGAGCAGGTACACCATCCTTCACATATTCTACCTCCTATATAACATCCAGGCTGGCCACCCCAGCACAACCCACATTGATGGTGACAGGCTTTATGAGGGCACTCTCGGCAAAGTTCTGAATCTTCTTGGGCATGGTGGCACTGAAGAGTAGGGTCTGCAGCTGGCCCTTGAAGTAGGAGAAAATGGTGTGGATATCTCCCTCAAAGCCCATGTCAATCATGTGGTCAGCCTCATCAAGGGCCAGGTAGCAACAGATGTCTTGGCTGACCATCTCCTTTTGCAGCAGATCCATGAGGTGCCCAGGGGTGGCCACCATCATGTGTACACCATGTCGGATGGTCTCCATCTGCTCTTTTTTTTTTTTTTTTGGTTTAAATGGTTTTATTTGAAACAATAGTTGTACCAAGCAAGAGCTTACTTTCCCCACTCCAAATTAAAACAGAGCAC